TTAGAGTACGGATATTTTGCCCGACCCCGCCTGGCTCTCGCACGTCTTGATGGTGATCCGCCAAACGGCGCGAGGTCGTGCTGGAAGGGCGGGGCTGCGCTTGGGCGGCCGAGGCGTCGTCCCGCGATGCCGCTTGGCGTGCAATGGGCGCTGCATGTGTTGCACACGTGCCCGAAGTTGCACCTGCTGAATCGCCGCCGGTCCGAGCAGTGGCACGGCGCGTGGAGGGTCCCAAATCGCCATTTTGGCCTGAAGTTGAAGCCGAAACGGGGGCAAAAGTGTAAACCCCTGCCCCCTCGTCGTCGCTGATTGGCTGAAAGTCGGACCAATCGGGCGAGCAGTGGCACGGCGCGTGGAGGGTCCAAATCGCCATTTTGGCCTGAAGTTGAAGCCGAAACGGGGGCAAAAGTGTAAACCCCTGCCCCCTCGTCGTCGCTGATTGGCCGAAAGTCGGACCAATCGGGGGCCGCCAGATCGGCCTCGTCAGCTGCGCTATAGAAAGACGCGTCGCTGCCGAGACTTGATTGGCTGGCCGTGGAGGCCTCGCTGTCCGAGGACAGGGCCCGGTCTCTGATTGGCCAGAAGAGTCGCATGGCGCACTCTGATTGGTCAAAAAGAAAAAAATCCGACAGCCGAAGACCGAAGACGAAGGCGAATTAGAAAAGTGTAGAGAAGATCGGTGTAGTTGACCTCGCGGGGGAAAGGTGAACGCCCCCGGAGACCGCTCGTCCGCCGCTAGTAAGCTAGCCGCAGACGATTGCCCAAAAATGCGAGTGAAAAAGTCCGCCAATGGATCGTTTATTTTTTCAAAATTAAAAAATTTATCATTTATTAATAATAATATTAATTTTTTTAATTCACAAACTTCTTTAATTAATTTTTTGGAAATTACTTTCCCAAAACCACGAAATTCATTAAATAATTTTAATTTATATTATTTATTTAATACAAATTTACAAAATAAATTAAAAATGTCTAAAAATAATTTTATTATTTATCAAGGACATCATTTTACAAAAGATGCACAAAATTCTAATTTAATTTTACCTGGATTAACTTTTTTAGAAAAAAATGGAATGTATATTAATTTAGAAGGTTTAATTCAAAAAAATGATCAAATTTTAAACTTAAATACCGAACAACGTAAAGATTCTATAATATATAGAAATATTTATAAGTTTTTAATAAGTAAAAATCAATCAAAATCAACTTCATTTTTTAAAATTACAGATATTTTACCTTATTTATTAAAAAAAAAATTAAAAATTATAAATAATTTTAATTTTAATAAAAAACATTTAAAAATTAATATTAATTTTTTAGATTCATTAATTAAAAATAATTATTATACAAATATATTAAAAGTATGGTTGGACAAACACCATTAACTTGTTCACTATTCAAAATATATCGTGTCAAACCTATTTGCGCACTTTGTAGTTGCTCACTAGTAATCCGTTGTGGCGCCTTTCAGCGCCATCGCCAAGTGGAAACGCTTCGCCATGCTCTTGATAAGCTTCTTGATGTAGTCAGGCTCGAGACGTGCCCACGCCGCCTTGGTGCAAGCCTTCAATTTGGCTCGACTGTCAAACTGACGTCCATTTGAATACATGTACACCTGACCCGCCAGAGGTCCTCTAATGTTGTCAATTATGTTGAAATCAGGGCTTTTGGCGGGACACTACATCGTTGTAACGTCGTTAGCCTTGAGGAACCCCTTAGTGAATCTCGAAGCATGTATCGAGGCGTAATACATTGGCCAGATCCTACAACCTAGTGAGCTTTTCCTTTACTTGTGCAGATCCGACAGGTTAACCGAATTTACTACTTGGTCGGTTACACCCTAGGGGCTCTCAACTTTCAAGATCCCGTCACAGGAGGCGGCAAGTACGACGCAAAGGAACTACAAAGGCAAGGGAACACACCCGCAAGGCAACCCTACGGCCAGATCCACGATCTAGGCCCCGGATCCATAAGCTCGAATATTCGCTTAGAATACGGAACCATCCACGGACGCAGAGTGAAGATTTTCCACTGCTGTTCCACCCCATCCCCACGTCTCGCCAAGACACTCAAGCTTCACCACTTGAACTCTTCGGAAGTTACCGAGAGAGCAGATCCCGCCCTACCGACGGGTACACAAGGTGAGGAAAGTTCAGCAGAACACGGATCATCGGGGGACCCCCTCCGTTAGTCGGTGTCTGGGCGCAGTTGGTAAGTTGGATCTGGCAATCTCGCAGATTTTGCTGATCCCGCTACACCACAAGATGGCAGACATGGACAGGATTGTTGTCAAAAGGGCGTCTCGTCCAGCTTCGACATACCAGTAAAACCGGGTTCCAAGGACCCCGCGATGTTTGAGGTGAGGCAATCGCGCAGAAGGGATGTATGCGCGGACGATGAATGAACGTAAAGGATGGCATGGACGAGTCCCGTGTTTATGAGTGGGACCACAGAGCTAGTGTGTGCGGGCTAGGGCAGAGAAAGAGAGGAAAGA